AAGCTAAAACTGAGTTGATTATGCTAAAACAAGTAGAGCAGAGGATACAATGAGCCCAACTCAGGTTGAAGGGACCATAGCACAAGCTACAGCGTTCCTGTATATATATATATATATATATATATATATATATATATATATAATAAACTACTACTTATTACTTATCCTACTATTCCTACTTCGCGGTTTTTCACTTATTACAGGGTTTAATGCCTGCCTCTCTCTGCCTCTCATTGCCTCCCTTTCTCTCTCTCTCTCTGTCTCACACAAAGACTTTGGTCATGTACGCAAGTTGGACATGTCTGTACGATAATGACAGCGCTCTAAACACAGTAACATTCAATGCAATGTTACATACAAAAGTCACAGAGACATCAGGGATGTGGTGCAGGAGAAGAGGGTGTGGTGCATTGGCTTTGGTGTCTCCCTTGGCTGTAATGAATTGGTCAAATGCAAACACGCAGGTGGTTCTTTTGGGTTAGTGGGGTACCCTCCATGAATGGTACAGGAAGCACTGCTTACCATATCGCTCTGTCAGCCATGGCTGGATCAGTGGTGGCTGTGCTTCATTTGTGGTTCATTTGTGGAGTGGAAGGTCTCTGCTCTGAGTGCAACAGGGGTCTCTGTGATCCTTATCGTCTGTGACGGAGAGAGGCTCACAGCTGAGCCTCTGCTGGGTCAGGAAATACCTGTAGAATGGTTGGAGCTTTCACCTGCAATCTCTCACTAAATTGGCAACACTGCTCTGGGCTCATCAGAAAGAACGAGACACCGTGCTCTGCTCCGACTGGATAAAACTATGGTTGTGGTTCAATATATTATTTGAAAACAGTGTCAGTTTAATTCCTCTATCAGAACTGGATTGGATAGCTTTAACACAACCACTATAAAACAAGTTTTTTTCCCCTCCCCTTCTCAATTTTACAGATGACGGAAATCTGTCATGGGAACACTGTAGCTTGTGCTATGGTCCCTTCAACCTGAGTTGGACTCATTTTATCCTCTGCTCTACTTGTTTTAGCATAATCAACTCAGTTTTAGCTTCTTCAAGAAATGTACACTGCATTTTCACAGAAAAATAATTTCTCTAGTTAGGCTCTCCCTGGCCAGGGCAGTCATCCCTCCCTGCTTAAAATCTGCAACCATCATCCCAGTGCCGAAAACGCCTACCATCACCACCTGAATGATTACCGGCTCTCACCCCAGTAACCATGAAGTGCTTCGAGAGACTGGTTCTCCAGCACATCATGGACTATCTCCCTCCGAACTTTGACCCCTACCAGTTTGCATATCGCACCAACAGGTCCACAGAGGATGCTATTGCAGTAGCTCTCCACACCGCTGAGCCACCTGGAACAACAGCACAGCTATGTTCGAATGCTCTTTGTGGATTACAGGTCGGCCTTTAACACAATCATTCCGGACATTCTTATAAATACATTGGACAATCTCGGCCTCCCCACACTCACATGTGCCTGGATAAAAGACTTCCTAACCAATCGGCCCCAATCTGTAAGACTTGGTCCCCACCTCTCCTCCACTCGTACGCTGAGCACTGGCTCCCCACAGAGCTGTGTGCTGAGCCCCCTGCTGTACTGTCTCTACACCCATGACTGCAGCCCGGCCCACAACAACAACCTCATCGTCAAGTTCGCTGATGACACCACAGTGGTCGGACAAATCTCTAAGGGAGATGAGACATTTTACAGACAGGAGGTCCTGGAGCTAGCAACCTGGTGCTCAGAGAAAAATCTGGCTCTGAATATCAAAAAACCAAGGAGGTAATTATTGATTTCAGGAAGCACAGCACCAACCTAGCCCCCCTTTACATCAATGGCGAGTGCGTGGAGAGGGTTCACACTTTCAGATTTCTTGGTGTCCAAATCTCTGCTGACCTAAACTGGAAAGAGAACACCACAGCGGTCATCAAGAAGGCTCAGCAGAGACTACACTTCTTAAGAGTACTTAAGAAGCACAACCTGAACAATAAATTGCTGCTGACCTTCTACCGCTCGTCTATCGAGAGCCTGCTGACATACTGTATCTCAGTATGGTACGGCAGCTGCACCCTGGCTGACAAGGAGAGGCTTCAGAGAGTAGTCAAGACAGCACAAAAGATAATTGGCTGCCCTCTCCCCTCCCTGATGGACATTTACACATCACGCTGCCTCAACAGAGCAGAAAGCATAATCAAGGACTGTTCACACCCGAGTTTTGAACTGTTTGACTTGTTACCTTCAGGGAAGCGCTACAGGTGCATCAGAACACGAACAAACAGATTCAAGAACAGTTTTTTCCCGAAAGCCATCACCACACTGAACTCACACATGCACTGATTTAATAATCTAACCTCCCAAACCCCTGGACTTCTACTGTGCAATACTACTGCCATTTCATACTCTCAGGCACCTAACTACCTCACTAATATCCATGATGTGCAATACAATTGTGTAATACTCTTGGCCATGCCCACTTCTCTGCTGCAAAGTGGAGATCATGACATTTTGCAGGAGGAAGCTTCTCCTGCAGCTTGTGGGCTGCACACAGGTGCAGAAAGAAGCTTTTTCTGCAAATGTGAGCTGCACATACAGTAGGTGTAGCAGGTACTAAGTAAATTAAAATAATTTATTTGAAATAAAAATCCCATGCCAATCGTGCAGCTCATCCATCAATCAACCAATAGTGTGTCATGTCCAATCTTACTTTGAAAAACCGCAATAGAGCGAGTCCGCAAAAAACGAACTGTGAAGTAGCGAGGGACTACTGTACAGTAGTCCAGTCTGGTCGTGATAGAGACATGCACTAGTTTTTCGAGGTCGGATCTGGACAACACTAGTTTAAGCTTAGCTATCTGCCTTAACTGGAAGAAGCTTTTCAGCAGAACAGAGTTCATTTGTTAGTCAAAATTGAAGTCAGATTCTAAAACCATCCCAAGATTGTTAAGGTAGGAAGTAAGGGTAAATTAGTCTTTAATGTAGGTAGGAAGCATCCAGGATGAATCATTCTCAGAAGTCTGAACCTTCACAACTAACTCCAATCAATGCGGAGGAGCAGCGGCTCTACTCCAAGCACCCCGGGATTGTCGACAGAGTTCGTCAAGGCTGAGGCTGGCCACCCTATGAAGGAAGCCTTTTACAGCTGCTCGTATTCAAGATCTTGTTTTTTGTCATGATTTATACTTCATAGTCACAAGGTAATGATGCAATGTAAACAGACCAGCAAATCAAGATTTTACCTTTTCAATTAACAGTTTTGGATTGTGTTTCCTTGACTGATGAAGCCTTCCGGATGGAAGGTGAAATCTTTCAGAAAAAAAAAAAGAAACTGTCCAGATGATTTGACTGAAAATTGTTGGATTGTATACCTGGATTATTGAACATGGACTTTTTTAGTTTTGAACCAGCTTGACATGACTGTCGATGAGGAATAGGGCCGGCACAAGAGGAGGGGGCACGCCAAAGACACCATCTTAGCACCAACATAACTGGTTCTATTTTGTATAGGTTTCGCCCTTTAAGGCTAGTGGGTTTATCCCTTCGCGCGCAGTGCAGCACTGAAAACTTTAGTTCGCGCCCACCGGCTTTGTGGGCTCCACCCCCAGGCCATATAAATTACGGTGAGACCGGGCAATCGGCTCCCATTTTTTTCTTCAGCCCGTTAGTTAGCACTGTCAGAAGAACGAAGAAGAAAAGATGTCCAGCAAAATCTGTGAAGGATGCCTGGTCCCCGCCACAAGCAGACTTGTTCAAGGTAAGTGCTGAGGAGTGGTTTTTTCCGTGGCAGGGTACTACTCGCTGGACGACGTCATCGCCTTTTCTAACGTTTTTCTGCACGGTGAATCGGATGATTCAGCCGAAAAAGGCGATGCTAGCAGCAGCCCCACTGCCCCCTCCCTCCTGGAGAGCTTAGTGATGGAAGAATGGGGGCTGAGCGGATGCTCAGCCACCCCGGGTCTTCCCACGTCTGTGACCACAACACCCCTCCCAGCCGTCGGTGCCCTCCTCTTGGAGCTGCCCGACATAATCCAGGAGGCAGCTCACACAAAGGGACTTTCTGTCCCTTGCCTCCCTCCGCCTCGATTGGATGATCTGGCGGGAAGTTTTGGCTCCGCCCCGGCTTGTCGCCCTGACCCCATCTTGCCCCGCTTTCCAGCAGTGACATCCTACTGGAACAAGGCTGCAGCTGGGCCCGGTTGGGCGGTTTTCATTCTGATTTTGCTGGGAACTCTGGGAGGATTTTTGTTGGATTGTTGCGTTTTGCCACATATTGCTAAATTATCTTGGCTTGTACTGATGTACGTTCATGTTCAAACAGTAAATATACTGTAACAATATATTGATTGGGCAGATTTTTGTGTGATGTGGTGGTTTTTAAAAGATTTTTGGTCTGGAAACCCTTGATTCTATCTGGCAACACTGAAAGATGGGCCTCCCACGGGATTTGGTGCGTATGATTCAGGGCGCACAAGCCACTTCCACCACAGCACTGTACACATCAAAGTGAACAGCTTTTCAGCGGTAGTGCGCAGAGAAAGTCGTGGAGGCCATCTCATGTCCACTAGGTGGCGTTCTGTCATTTTTACAGCAACTGATGGACAGAAATTTAGTGTTCAGCACAATTAAAACTTATTCAAAAAGCGTTCAATACAAAAACAACTGGACTTTATTTGTAACAGAAGACGTTTCGCTCCTCATCCGAGGAGCTTTCTCAATTCAAAGAGCAGAGAGTGAGAGATACAGGTTATAAGGCTGAGTGAGATAAGACACACACACACAGATAAGACACACACACACACATATGTAGATTGGCAGTTCACACCTAAACACCTAAACAGTAGGTCTTTGTTCTTCTAATTCACTGACGAGGCCCCTCTGTTCCCATCAGGTGTGAAAACCGGCTGGGAATCTGTTTTAAAGTTGCATTATATGTTTTTGAAAGTGGAAATCTGAGGCCTCCTCCTCTGTTAAGAGATGGCTTTTCTCTTTTTACATAAATTGCTTCCTTCACCCCCCTCTCAAACCATCTGTGTTCTCGGTCCAAAATGTGCACATTTTGGTCCTCAAAAGAGTGTCCCTTATCTGTGAGGTGGAGGTGAACTGCGGAATTTTGTCCAGAGGAGGTGGCTCTCCTGTGTTGAGTCATGCGTCTGTGAAGAGGCTGTTTAGTTTCTCCAATGTAGA